TCTCTGTGAGAGGCAGAGGCACCCCGAAGTATTCTGACAGTACCAAGTTCTAACAGTAACCATTCGTTGGCAAAGCTGCCAATGATTCTCTTTATCTGGAGGAACCTAGAAGGAAGCTAATGGCGGGTCTGATTCCCAAGCACTGGATTACCAAATTACCACCGAAACGAATGAAAGAACTGAAGAGGGGTCGAAGGCCCGCTGACGGAGTGGAACCCTCGATCTTCCGCACGACAGCGGCGGTACTCTGCATTGTGCTATGCTCACTGGCAACAGTAATTAGAATTTCCAAAATTCCTCACTTTAGCAATTTCTGGAAATCTTTTCAGGAAGCTTCTGGGAAATTCTGGAAATCGCTTTTCAGGGAAAAAAAATGCAACGGAGCACTTTTTCCAATTCCTTTTGCTTCTTCGCTATGTCAAAACTTCTGTCACATTTTACAAGCTGAGAAAGATGTAAGCATTCAGAAAGTAGCCCGAATTTTAAAATAGCAATAAAAAAACCTTTCGTTCATCGGTACTGCATTCCACGTAGATGTTATCCGGCGAATGCAACGAATGCATTCGTCGGGGAGGCGGTGGCCGCAGTGTTGCTGCAGAACGTGGTTTCGCCAACGATCCTTGGGATGGTTTTTCTGCTGCCGAATCTGGAGTTGTTGCGCAGCATGAATCGAACGAACTCGAGATTCGTCGAGCACTATAAAAGTTTCAGTATTTCCGCGATTGTTACCAGCTTATCTTTGTACCGCAAGCAATTTTGAAAGAAGCCAAAGTGGCCCTTTTCTTCCCTGTGAGAACCACAATCTTCAACAAAATGTTTCGCAGCTAACTCAGAGTTACCATCACATTCTGTACAGCGAGGATGTTGCATTTTCTAGCAGGACGCGCATGTCTGTACATGCACACAGTATAAATTATTATAGTAAGTACAATAATTGTTGTCTCTTAGCTGAGGCCAAGAATTATCCAGTAAAAGTGCTATGAAAACCACTGGTTTTTGTCCGCGGCTCCGAAAGCAGCTTGGAACAAAGCGGCCCCCTGACTCAAAAAGTGCCGGACAATTAGTATGGAGATATAAAACGCATGTGAAGAGGATGCTTTCAGAAGCCAGAAGCAGCTACCCTAGCCCTTTTATCCCAATCTGCGCGCATGCAGTTAGTTAACTGCCATCTCTAGCTTTTCAAAATTTTTGGAAATCGCCAAGAAAGCCTTACCTCACCGGTTCTTCTTCGGAACCACGACGTGACATGCATGTCTGAAAAT